CTTCTTTCCAAGAATATCTAATTTGACCTATTTCTTGCTGTAGATACATTGAAAAAAAAAAAATCTGAGCATTTAAACTTGATGCCCAAGCGCATCTAAAACTGTAGACTCGTGAGAAATCAGGATTCGGACTAATTGCAGCAGCTCTCCAGGCTTACAGCTTGTCCTGTGCAGTTAGAAAATAGATGTTGCTAGAGCTGGTTTTTAGGCGAAGTGTTGTGACAGCCTTAAGTGTGACAGATAATCCTGTAAGTCAATTTCACATGCATGTCATGCTTAAAAAAAAAAAATGATGACTGCTGGATGTATATGGAAGTGAGCAACTTTGAAGGAGAGCACTTATCAATGACATTTTTCAGCTAGATGACGGCAACTTAGACAATGGGGGAAAGATGATTCATAATCTAAAAGTTATTAAATATTCTTGATAAAGGTCCTTGTGGAAATCCACATTTACTAGAAATTGATGGTCTAGGGGGATGGGATTGAAATGAAACATGAAAACTGAATTATACTTCACATCGGTTTCAGGTTTTAAAAACTGTGTGATAGGGTTGTTCTGGGCTGCTCTCCATGCTTTTTGTCTTAAGAGATTGCTTCTAGTTTTCTGGTTTGAAGTGGGATTAGGGAAAAAAGGTGAAACAGAGAAAACTCAGAAGCATTTTTTTACCCTCTTTTGAAAACAAAGGTCTGTAACCTAAGTCTGCTGGAAAGGAAGAGGTTAAAGTGTTCTGACCTGACAGATACCTAAAGCAGACAGTGATATGTACGGTTCTGAAATTTCCATGCAGATCTAAATGGCAGCTGTATTCCTTTTGGGATTACAGGGAGAAGAGTTTAACTATCCAGAAAGAATATCTTTGAATGACTTAGCCTAGTTAGTGTCAGTCAATGTCAAAAATTATAAAATATCTGTCACTTCAGCTAACAATATTCTTAAATGCAGAGCTCGCCTGGAAGATTGGAGGGCATCTAGAGGAAAAGTGATGAGACGACCTCCTGCATATGCACTTCTTGGATCCCAGTCTACAAGTGAAGAACAAGAATACTCTTCTGCTGATGCTTTAAAGCACATATTACACAGTGAAAAGGTCAACAAGATTCTCAGCGAATGCCTGCAGTTAACAGAACAGGTATTTGGATCCTTGCCTACTGAGTTCTGATCATATAGGTCCTGAGAACACACAAGTACTACAGGTGTGTTAGACCCGTGTGAATCGGGTGCAGGGGACTAATTGCTCCCCAAGTTAAGCAATGTCATAGCTTTTGCCAACACCTGAAAAAATTAAGCTTTACCAATTTACTGAATTACCGAATAAGAATAGGCAATAATGGTAATAATAGTAGAGCTATAATAGTAGAAGAGCTATATCATAATGGGTAGCTAGACGGAATTAATCTAAAACAAGTTTGCATTTGCAGAAATTTGTCTGTACTTCTGAAAAAGTCTGTTTCTGGTAGTTCTGAAGATGTCTATACATTCTACTACCCCTTCTACTTACAATACTGTATAAATAATTCTTATTTGGAAGAATAGGGGAATAACAATTCTTCTGCCAAAGAAAGAAAAAAATATTTGCTTTCTAGTTCAAAACCAGCTAAACTATGGCACCTAAATATGTTAACTGCATTTAAATCTCTGCTTTTGTGTTGACTTTAGGGACGTCGAGGTGATGAAATACGTGCAATGTTGGAAGACCTCACACAGAGCATTCCTGGGGTTAAAAAGCTTGCGAAATATTGGAACTGCTGTATTCGTCTTGAACAGAGGGGCCCTCTTGAAAAGCTTATTGCTGTCTATGAGGAGGCCATTTTGGCAGGAGCAATGGTAAGCAGCTTTCCTTGAAGTTTGAGATTGACAATTACTGAGGCATGAAAGTATGGCATGTAAAATACAACTGCTTCTGATTTTATTAAATCCTTTTATGGTTGAAGGAGAGCCATGTGACTTACTTAAACATTAAAATAATGGATTTAGTTTCCTCTGTAACCACTGTAGATACTACTTTGAAGAAAAAAGGTTTAGGATCATTGAATTGCCATATGATGTTCCACCTAGAAGGAATTAAGGAATTGAGACTTCTAGTATCGTTAGAAACGCAAAATATAACTTAATTTTACACTTATTGATGGATTTCACTTCTGTGCCTTAATATCAGTAAGATTTCAGGGCATCACATAACAGCTTTAGTGCACCAAATGCAGAAAATACAGGATTCACTTGTTTTCTGACTTATGTCTGAACAGCACTAAACAAAGGGTTTCTAAGATGAACCTCATGTGGTCTGTACCACTTTCCCTGTAACTATTACATGAAACAAATAAGCTGAAACAATGATTATTTTTGGATTTGTTTTTCTAAAACAGTAAAACTTTTTTTCAGCCTAAAGAAGAACTACGACACACACTAATAGATATTATGAAAAATAATGAAAGCCTTTTTAAGTCTGAGAATGGTAAGTTTGAGACCTCTATTTTAGTTAAATGTGTGACTTAACAGGCAACACAAGCTGTGTACAGAACACAAACTATTTGTGTTGATATTAAAATTTATTTCATAGAAAATTTTCTGTGATAATTTTGTACTCAATTGTCTTTGAAAACAATCTTGACTAAACAAATACTTTTCAATAGTGGGCATGTTACAATGATTGGAGATGCTCTTGTATTCAAACTTTCTACTTAAACTTTATCAAAGCTATTTCAGCCTGATAATCAAAAAGTAAATAAAAATATTCTTGTGAGCTAGAAATCAATGCCCCTTTGACACAAACTCCTTCACTACCAGAAGCATGGTTGTGTTTTGGCAGAGCGTCAATTAAAGGTTCTAAATATTTTAATTTTGGAAGTAAAGTAGCTATAAATATTCCCCTTTAATATAACATAACCTGACAAGTATTTGAACCCAGAAACTGAAACATTTGTTGAGAGCTGCTGCACTTGGAAAGGAACAGAATGACTTCTCAGGACGTGTACTTAATCTGAGTTTTCAGGTTGCAGGTTCTCAAAGGTGACTAAAATTATTAGTAACTTAAATTGTTGTGGCTCAGACTCAACGCTTACTTAACTTTCATTCTCATGTAAAGCTCTAAGATTTCAGGGATCTCTCTAAAACCTTCTCCTTAGTCGTAACTAATCACAGCTGTACTTTCTTCTGTATTTTATTTTTAGGGGAAACTGTGATAGAAGATCATTTAAGTGAGTTAATGGAAGTCAGCAAGGAACCAAATTCATCTGTAGAGCCAGTTCAGGAAACCCTCAAGGATTTCTGTTCTGATGATGTCCAAAAAGCAGAGAGTGATAACAAGAAGACAGAGGCAAGCAGTGAAGCTACCCAGAAAGAAGAAGCTGATTTAGACTTAAAACCAAGGGAAGAGATCTTACCAAAAAAGAATAAAAAGCACAAGGCTAAAGAACGTACAAAAAAGAAAGGAAAATGTGAAACAGAACAGCGTGAAGATGGGATAAAAGATATAGCTCAAGCAGTTAATTCTCCTGAGAAGGGGAATGACAAATCTTGTTCAATGAAATACAATCCTCCTACCACACCACACTTGGAAAGGTAAGATTACTTCAGGTAACTATGGAAAGTTTGCAGTGTCTGGAGAAACAATAATGTTTGTGTCCTGTTGGAACAGGGAGGCATTGCATTTGTGAATACCTAGTTAAAAGCTCTCAAGAACTTTTATTTTTAGGATTGCTTCCTCTTCCTTCAGAAGGAAGTATTTTAAAGTAAATTTCTCAATTTACTCAAACTGTTTTGCTTTGTGAATGCCTCACTACAGAGTAACCAGACTTTTGTGGCAGAGACATAAATTCCATGTTTGGGATGCCCTCCCACAGCCTACATCACAGTAGCAGTTCTACACTAAGCTAGGTAAAGAGAAAGTAGGTGTGTCCAGTCCTCTCCTTTTCAAATGGAGATCTGATTTATGTCATACAACATAGAAATACTGAACAAGATGTAACTGTCCTCAAGTGGTTATCTTGAGGCAAAAACCTGGGTAGTAACCTCAGTATAAACCAGATAATATTGACATTATTTTTTTTTTTACCACAAAGTTTTTTCTAAGATAGCAGACTTAGGAAAGTTGTGCTCAGCTTTGGCATCTGATGAAGCTGGAGACCTGGCAGCCGTCCACTATCCCTCATAGCAGGAAGACCAATTTGCCCCTGATGGAATAGGGAAGGATCTTCCTTTGGAAACTGTTTTCAGGAGGTTCTCTGGGTTAAAATATTTTGCCAAAGAAAACTTGTATAACTGGTTCTAACAGTATGAATGGGAAAGGGCCTGTTTCCTTTGATTGTGGCAATGGGAAAGAATTGAACATGAATCATGACTTGCTGTTTCTGCCAGATGCTAGAAAGGTAACTTGTATGATGGTGTGCCTATGTCTAGTGATTTTTTTTTTCTGATTTTTTTTTTTTCTTTCTCAAAGCGTGAAGATGTCTCATGAGGCAAATTACTCCAGTGGTAAAGATCTGAAAATTGTAACCCCTTTGCGATATTCTCAACGCATTCGAGACAAAATGTGCAAGCTGCCTGATACCGGCAAAGATCAAGATCCATGTGTCTCTTCACTTGAACAGCTGGAAGAATTGGAATCAAACGCCACTGTATTTATCCACAAACAGAGCAATGCCTTCCAAGAAACAAATGCTGAAATAGAAGAGTAAAAACTAGTGTTACTGTTATATAGGGGTTAAAGATTTGATTTTAAGGAGAGTTGAATGGGACTTATTTTTAGCAGCTTTGAGAGAGGATCTATCTAAGACTCATGTGAATGGCTTAAGGTGAAATTTGACTGCCTGAGTCACTAAATAAAGTTTTAAAGTTTTTGCCTTTTCAAAATTGTAATAAATCTGCTCTGGTTTAGTACTAGACTGATGTCTGTGTTTAACTATGTTTCATTAAATATCAAACTAAGGAGTAGGTGTAAAGCTTCATGTTGTAGTATATTGCTAATACCTACTCTTTCCTCTTGCAATTGCAGAACTCTAAGGAATTCTTAGGAACCTTTCAATTTAAGAAAATAAACAGTAATGTAGGCATTCTAATAGGTCAATGTCTACTACAACATCTAGTTTTGAAAACTGAAGCCAGCTTGTAAGGTGTAGGCTAAATTTAAACTTTTATAGAGTTTTAGAGCTGTTTCAACAAAACATTTTAATCTCTTTAGTTACTGACATTGTTCATTATCAAGTAATCTTAGATGACGTCTGATACACTACTTACGTGACTGTTTTAATGTTGGTTTGCATTAGTCTCTAATACAGTAGACATTAAACTTATCAACTGAGTTGCTTTTGTTCTTTATTTATAGGCTATATGCTGTAAACTATGTAGTCTGCTCTTGAAAGTGAAGCGTCAAAGCAGAATACTGGTATTTTCCACACTCATCACACGCAGTGTTTCCGTATTCATCATGCTCCGAGGGACAGCCCTCTCTGCCGGTGGCTCCGCCTCAGAGGCGCGGGCTGGGCGTTCCCGCCCGGGCAGCTCCGTTCTCCTTCCCATCCTCCGCCCCCATCCCGCCACGGGGAGGTTGTGGAGCAAGCGCTGGGCTTGTGCCAGGGCCTGTGCTCGGGCCTTTGCCCGGCGGGATTACGGCCCGCCGAGGTGAGTACCCGGCGGGCCTGAGGGGCTGGGGGCGGGTTGGGGCTGCTCTTCCCCAGGCTAGAGGAGCTGTAGAAACAAGCCCCGAGATGCTTTTCAAAAACAACTCATCAGCCCTTTAAAACAGTGTGTGCACAGTGTATACATAAAGGGATGCTTGGAACGTGGATAACCAACTTAAAAACACCAACGTTTTGGGAAAAAAGGAGAATAGATCGCTGCTGTGTGTGAAATGCTTGAGAAGCGTTTTTAGCAGAAAATGGGAACGTGGGAGTTTGAGCAGTTGTGGGAGCTCTCTGGTGTTGTGGGATTAAGCTCCATAGCCATGTCCTCTCCGGAACGAGAGGACACGGCCTCAAACTGTGTCAGGGGAGGTTTGGGTTGGACAGCAAGAGGAATTTCTTCGTGGAAAGGGTTGTTTAACGTTGAACAAGTTGCCCAGGGAGGTAGTGGAGTCACCATTTCTGGAGGTGCTCAAGAAATGACTACATGGGGCACTTTAGTACCATGGTCTGGTTGACAAGGTGGTCATCAGTCTTAAGGTTGGACTTGGTGATCTCAGAGGTCTTTTCCAGCCTCAGCGATTCTGTGATACAGCTTAAATGCAGTGATAGGACAACTGGGAACAACTCAGAACTGAACCAGGGGGAGCTTTACACTGGATGTTAGGGAACATTTCTTTGCTGAGAGGGTGGCCAAACACTGGAACAGACTTCTTAGAGAGGTAGTCAGTGCCCCAAGCCTGTCAGTGTTTAAAAGGCATTTGCACCATCCCCTTACCAATGTGATTTAACTTTTGGTCACCCCTGAAGTGGTAAGGCAGTTGGACTAGGTGACCATTGCAGGTCCCTTCTAACTAAAATACTCTGGATCTTTCAGTTGTTGAAGTCGATGTGTAGTAACTTTTACCAGTTTGATCCTGCTTATAGTGAGAATTGTCACTGGAAGCTTGAAGCTTGTTATGTTATTGTGCCTGTGAGTTTTCTTTAGTGTTATGAAACCACCTGCAGGAGCGCAGGTAGCAAAAAGAAGATGCAACGTTGTAGGTTTGCAATTTACGTTTTCAGAGAGCTTTAGCGTTTGAAATTAAAAAATGCAGCAATAATGCTGGATCAAGCTTTGAGTTTTACTTTCTGGAGGCCTCATTTTCAGTAAAATCATGTAGCAGTGCATGGAAGTATTATGGTAATGCTGGAAAGTCGTAGGTACCCACGTTTATCAGTCATTCTTGTTATTTTGTGGATTTTTTTTGAAGAGAAGTGTAGGGCCTGGGCCTATAAAATATGGAAGAATACAAAGTGTTGAAAGTACTAGGAGAGGGATCCTTTGGCAGAGTTCTCCTAGTTCATCATGGAATCAGTGACCAGAAGTATGCGATGAAGGAAATAAGACTTCCCATGGTAAGTGTGACACATACGCCACCTCACCCACTGCTTAAAAAAAGTAAAATTTTAAAAAAATCATAATTGCAGATGTGTTTTTGAAACGCTGAACACTTTTGCTGCAAATTTTGTGTATTAGACAGTTGCATGGTATGGTTACTGTATAACTATGTCTGAGTTGATGTTGGTACTGAGTAAAGTAGGAAAATCTGATCCGATTCAGAAAGTGCGTGGTTACATTTTGGGAAGTGCAGCACATAGGAAGACACTTTCAATGAAATCCTTGTTCCCCGATGCCCTTGATTTCACTGGAATGCAGATTTCACCTGCAGTGCCTAATGAGAAAATTATTATTATTGCTGGTAATCACTTATTTGGATTATCTTCTCTGCATCTAGATAAGCAAAAAAATCACTAAATGGGAGACACCAGCTTTCTGGAGCCTGAGGCTCAGTTAATATTTGGGCTCTTGGCTTTATATTGAGTTCATGCAGACTGTCAGCTGTTCCGAAGTTGGTGTGTGCTGCTTTGTTACTTAGTTCTGCACTTTTAAAATAGAAAAAGTCATTAATTGAAGTAGGAAAATATCCTATCAAAAAAAAAAGAAATATTAAAATCCAAACACTTAAAAAGCTCAAAGATGTCTTCAGCTAGTAATAAACCATAGATTAAAAAGATGGGGCTTTGGGGGTTCTAAATGGCTTTTAAAAATAACTGAAAAATAATTCTTAAAAATATTTTCCTTTTGGAAAGTGAAGTGTATTGTGTGTCTGTGTGAAAATTTATTAGTGTGACATTTATACAGGTGTACTTATATTTTCAGTCTTCGTCTGGTGTAGAGAACTCTAGGAAGGAAGCAGTTCTTTTGGCTAAAATGAAACATCCGAATATCGTTGCCTATAAAGAATCATTTGAAGGTAAATATAAAAATTTAAGTTCCTTCATTTGTTTCTAGTTGCACGCTCCTCAGGGATCAAGATTACTTTCCTCTTTTTGTTTACAATACATGTTATAAACAAAATACATGTTTATTGTAACATATAACACGTAGCATGTAGTCGGAGCTTTATAGTAAAAAGTGTTACTTACAGTAAAAAAATTACTTATTCTGCTAATGAAACTACTAACTATTCTTAAATTACCTAAAATTTAGCTGATGGACATCTGTATATAGTGATGGAATATTGTGACGATGGAGATCTAATGCAAAAGATTAAACACCAAAGAGGAAATTTTTTCCCTGAAGATACGGTAAGAAAAGACATTGTTTTGAACCAGGGGGCCAGAAATCCTGTTTCATGTAAACTGAAACATGCTGCATAAACCAAATTATAGATATGCAAACACTGTGAGGTACCTTAAATAAAACAAAGGCACTTACAGTTAGAATAGAAAAGATATTTCTTTTATAATTTCTGGCAGAACAAGGCAAGAATTGAACTGAAAGGATTAAAAAAGGAATTGCTGCCTGTATCTGGGAATTGTGCAGATAGTGGGAAAAAGAGAGTCAGGTTTGTATGCAATTAAATAAGAATTTTACAGAAACCTCAGACAGAATTTAAAGCATAGTAAGATGTACTGCAAATGAAAAGTAAACAAAGCACTCTGGCAGGATAAATTAAGCTAGCCAAGAGACTAAACACTTGCATTTTATGTAGCAATTAAATGTTTAAAGTATTCAGCAGGCATTAACTCCTTTTATCAGAGAGGCTATAAAATTACTTAGCAGAAAGTTCAAAGGGACATTGTAGTGAATGAAAGCTGCTTCTTGCCACAGTTAGAAGCATCACGTTAGTTAAAACAAAAGGACCAGAAATCTCAACTAACTGAATATTTAGATTTTCTATGCATGTTTGCATCTTTAGGAGTTTTCTTTTGTACTTTAAAGGGAACACATTTTCTTTTAGAAACTGTGTGTTATTTCCCCATGGGTTTTGTTTTTGTTTTGTTGTTTGGTGGGTGGGGTTTTTTATTTGCTAATTTACTATGAAACTGTAATGAACTTGCTTATAAAATGACCGTGAGATAAAATGCCATGTAGCAACTCCCTACCTTCATCATTGTTATGTATTATTACCGCTTTCTAGACACAGTTAATAAACATTTCTTCTGCCATATTAAAATATAATTTATCCTGAACTCAGTCTTTTATGCTGGTGTGAGGCCATTATGTTAGAGGTACTTTTAACTCCCAAATATTCGGAACATGCTTTTCTTTTCCTAATTTTTTTTATCTATTAGTATTCATTACATACAGCATTGAGCTGTTATAAGTACTAGTTACTCTTTTTCAGATCCTTCACTGGTTTGTGCAGATGTGCCTGGCGGTGAAGCACATTCATGATAAACGTGTGCTGCACAGGGATATAAAATCTAAGGTGAACAGAGCAAGTTTTGTTGCCATTAAAGACCTCTTCTGCATGTAAAAGTTAAACTCCCTCTTTCATAATTTCCTGTGACAGCTAAGTTCTGTGTTTTTTATTTAGGCCTAAGAATATCATGTAAATGAAACTGTTGAGTGCATGGGATGATGTAATATTGCAGGCGTAACCATCATCTAAGTATAGATATATCCTTCATATCCAAACTGATGATAGCACTAATTGCTTGTGACAGACTGCATATAGTTTAAAACAGTAACAGAAGTATAAAAAAAGTGTATAGATTATGCAGTTTTTAAATGTCTTGCCTCACATTTTTTTCTTTGTTACTGTTACCTATCAGAAAGAGGGAAATTCAGAAGAAAGTGTGACCTTATTGGTTTGAGTACAGCATAGAGATTAAGGCAATTCTAAGCTGTGATTCTTCCTCTGCTAATGATGCTGGAGTTAGGCCCATATAAGCTTTCCATTTCCCTGGACACAGTTCTATGTCATGGAATCAAAGAACATGACATAGTTCTTAGCTTTTTTTTTTTTTTGGTGGAAGTATTAGGAGAAGCAAGTAAAAGGAAATATAAAATACTAGAAGTGATTGCCACCATGTTTTCTGCATATACAAACTGCAGAAATGATTCCTAGAAGAATATTTCAGTACGTTAATCTATGCTTTTGAAATGCAGAACATCTTCCTCACTCAAAACGGGAAAGTGAAATTGGGAGATTTTGGATCTGCACGCCTTCTTGCACAGTATGTGGACATCTCCACTGATCTCAGTGGTGTCAAGTTTTATTATACCATTGACAAATAGTACAGAGTTCTTAAATCATGGCTTTCCACCTGGTGTTTCTTCTTTGTTGTTTCAATAGCCCGATGTCGTACGCTTGCACATATGTGGGAACTCCTTATTACGTACCTCCAGAAATATGGGAAAGCATGCCATACAACAACAAAAGGTACCTGTGTTTTCAGTGGTCACAAATAATGCCTGACTGATGTAGGGTTTTTTATTGCTGTCTCAATCTGGCTTTGTGGCTTATCTGTATTTGGTTTAGAGAAGATACTGAGCTGAAGTGTTTTTAGAAAGAGGTAATTACAGGTTTTTTAAGATGAAAGTGCAGAAATTCCTCTTTAGTAATGTAACTGAGAGCACAATATCTTTAGTCTTAGAAGTTTGAAAACTGTTGTGCAGACATGTGTTTGTTTGGGAGAGTAAATATATGCATACAAACATACACACAAATACCTACCTATCTGTGCACATACATAGGTATGTGTTTACATCTTTTGCTGGTCTTGTTTTTTTTTTTTTGGACTCATCATATTTTTTAAGCTCTTCACGCTGGTCATAATGTAGGGATAATGGCACAAAATGGATTACTTAGATTTATAGAGCCTAGATTTTCTGGTCCTAATGCAAGAACTTCTGAGAGCATCTTGATAGTACCGTTTTTACAGCTTCTTCCCAGACTCCCAAATACTAAGCCATATTATGTTCCCTCCCCTAGATCTGTTCTGTGACCCTAGTTGTGCAATTGGTTTTCCATAGGAGGGAAGAAACCTTCTAGAACTTCAGTTTTTTCTGCTCCTCTTGGAAGAAAGATATCAGTCGCTTCTTGTGCAGGTGGCAGTACTCACTTTTGATGGAAAATGATCGTTTTTTTCTCTGTAGGAGAGTTCTTATTGGCAGGGCCAGAATTCCAGCTCTCAGAATTAGGATTGTGTGGTTGCCATCTGATGTTAGGGGCTATGGAATACAAAGACTTTCAAGGATGGAAGGATAACTGTTGTTGCAGCAAATTGTTTAAGAGACATCCTAGGAATAAAAAGCCAACTACAACTGTATAACAGTCATCTTTTTTACATCAGGATAGGATAAAATAAGCAAAAACATTTCCACTGGAGAGGTTAAATGCATAATTGTGTTGTCTTTTATAGTTACTTACATTTATTTTTAGTTTATTCAATTAAGTTATGTACACAGATTGAGTCTCACTTTTTCGAAGCAGGACATTAAATTGTAATTTTTGGCTCAAAATTTCTCATCCTTCTCTATATCTACAGTGATATATGGTCTCTGGGGTGTATTCTATATGAGCTGTGCACTCTAAAACATCCGGTAAGTAGAGCTTTATTGCTATCAGAAAAGTTTTGGAATTCCTTAAAACTTAATTAGCAGTTAGCTGTACTGTAGATTTGACTGATGTGTTTGCTGCCGCTTCCAAAAGAGGGAAGTATTGCTCCACCCTTCCCAGACCTCCTACACTATGTGCCTTCTGTTTCTCAGCAGTTCTTGGGACCTACTGGACCCTTCTGTAGAAGACTTAATTTTCAAAATTGTTAGAAAACAATTTTTTTTTCTTGGTTAACTTTCCTCAATATCAGTGATCTGGGACTTATTAAGGAGTCCAGCAGTTGCCAGGCAGGTTCCAGATATCTGCAGGGATGTTGCAGTGAGCATTGCGTTTTATAGGATCAAGATGATCACAGGAGATATAGGCAATGACACTCAAAATCTTTACTAATGAGAATATATTGTGTGCAAGTACAGTGAAAGGTAGAAAGCAATAAGCAGTTTTGTATCTCGCATCAGTGATATACCTTTGCTTATTCTTCAAATCAAAGAAGTCACTGTCAAAGCACTGTCCTCCTCTTGGAACCGTGGGAGCCTTGATGTATGGTTCTGTCTTTCTGTCATTCCTGGGACCCTGTCTTTTACAGTCTTGATGCTGTGTTTCTTATGTGTTAACTTCCTCTGGCTTCTGTATACAGACACATGGGTAACAGAAGAGCCCTCATCGGGATATGTTTGTTTGGCAAGAAAATGAGATCCTAATTGAAGGTGATTTTGTCGTAGTTTTTTATAAGCAGCAGTTTCCTTTTGTTGAGGTAATACTATACCTTGAAATCACAGAACCACAGAATATTCTGTTTGGAAGGGACCCACAAGGTTTATCAAAGTCCAGCTCCTGGGCCTGCACAGAACAGCCCCCAGAATGATACCATATGTCTGAGAGCATTGTTCAAATCCTGCATATCAGCAAAAGATTCTCCACAGCTGCAACTGCTGGCTGTGCAAGAGTGTATTGACTGAGCGATAAAGGAGTCTGCGCATGGGTGTGTGTTAGCCTAAGTAAGTCTGTGGCGAGGCTTTGGCAGTGTCACAACTATTCAGGCAGAGCTCAGAGCTGGGGTTCAAAGGAGTGGAGTATTCTTCCCTTTTTAGCAGCATTGAAATGTTAGGTGTCTGGTTTTGTGTGATGGTCACACATGTTCTTGCATCATCTATCAGAGGTGATGCCACACACTGTGGATGTTTGGTACTCTGCAGCCAAGCCAGCAGAGTGTACCCAAAGAAAACTTCCTGCGTGGAGGTAAAAGTTCTCAAACATTTAGATTTGCAAGAGGGTATTTGTGCCTTTATAGGCTACTTTTGATAATTTTTTTTAAAATCAAAGTCTGTGTATTTCCTAGCTTGCTGTTTCACTCTTGCAGTTTAAATCTGATGATGAATTTGATTCCTATAAAATAAAATTTGATTAATCCTAAATTTATAGGAGTAACTCTCCCATCTGCTTTCCAGTTGTAAAGATTATTGTTTGCAGCGTTCATTATGATCTGGTTTTAGTCACTGTGATGTTTTCATTCTCAGTAAATTTTTGTCATTATTGACATCATTAAATGCCCATGCAACGGCCCTACGAAATGTAGAGGAAAGTTCCTAGTGTTGTTTTTTCACACCTCTGAAACTGTCAAATTGGAAGCCAAATCAGGTGGTAGTAAGGGAGCCTACAAAAATACATACTATGCATTTTTATATAGAAAATATTAAAGCTCCTCTTAAATCATCTCAGCATTTTTTTACCTTATGCTTATACTCTCTGCTCTCATGTTCATTTATTTTTAATGCAGTTTCAAGCCAATAGCTGGAAACATCTCATCCTTAAGATATGCAAAGGGTCCTACAATCCACTACCATCTCACTACTCCTATGAACTTCATTACTTAATAAAACAGATGTTTAAGAGAAATCCTCAGGATCGTCCATCAGCCAGTACTATTCTTTCAAGAGGCTGCTTAACCAAACTTATAAAAAATTGTTTGCCTTCTGAGGTATAGTATATTCTTTGTCTCTATATTTAAGCAATGGTATCTACATTTTAAGTACTAAATCATTTTCTTTTGTAGTTTGTTATTGTATAACTATAAAATGTGTTGTGTAGGTCCTACTCTAAAAGCCATAAATACAGTTGCAGACTTCTCAGAGAGCTGAGTTTTTAAAAGGATTTGTTTTGAAAATTGAAGTTGAATATTGACCTGATGCAGCTGAAATTAGGTATTGCAGCTGTTTTGTATAGTGACTATTTTTAAAAAATAATGTAACATAAAAATTGAGGAAGTTAAAAATGGTACAGCACCTCCATCTTTTTATACACATTCCAGATGATAAAAGAATTTGAGCAGGTATTAAAGGAAACCAAGAAACATGAAGGCAGTGCAGCAAGACGAAAGGGTAAGTGAACAACATTTTTGTTGATGTAGGGAATGACAAAATGACTAGGAAATGTAAGATCTTAAAAGTAGCTATAAAACATTAGTACTATATGTTCAAATCTACTTTTAATTATTTCAAAATCTAATGTTATTGAAGCTATATAGAAAATGTTTGAAGGGTGTAAATTATATTCCAACGTAAGTAGAGTGCAAAGCTGCAATATATACATTGTTAGGGATAAGACTTGTGCTAGAAATAATTCAATTTTAAAATAAGCAAAACTTTTAACTGTTGCATGTATTTTAAATATGAGTTCTTTCTTTCCCGAAATATGGTGAAGCAAGTTACATTCACTATTTAGTTTTTAGAGAGAATGTTGGATTTTTTTTCTTCTGCATCAATTAATCTACACCAAAATTTGTACATGTTTAGAACTGAATAGTGGAGGGACTCCCTGTTGAGAATGAGTTCTGTTGACAGAAGTGTGAGGAGCTATCACATAATTTTCATTGCTTGGTTCAGTGGCATTGCTGTCATACCTCTGGAATGCTACTTTACTACAAATGTTTGCTAAAGGTGTTAACTCTTCAGTCTCTTACTTAATGTATCAGGTAGTGTCATGGCTGGTGGAAGCTCAAATAATAGGAAAGAAAATAGGGTAAGTATCCAAATATAAATATAATATTTGTATTTTAGTAATTTAGAATGTTCTATATGATAGAAAAGTTCTTATGGAAAATTATTAGTATACGAAACCATGGATCAGCCTACTGGATCAGCTGTCATCTGTGTTCAAATTGCAGTTTTCCTGTGCATTTTTCACCACTCTTAACTTTTTGATTTTTCCCATATTTAGTTTAGTTCCAATGTGTATTTCCTTATAAGCCTGTCAAAACAAAAACCCAAATAAAAAAATCCGCTCTCATTTTTCTAAGTTTTTGGATTCTGCAAAAATTTATGCATTTTCATTGCTTCAGGGGAACACTGAGAACAGGCTGCTGTGGAAACAGTCTAGTCTGAACATAATTCTCACCAGGTTTTAGGGCCCATGTGAGATTTGAGGTGAGGAGAATTAAGTTACAGGTAGCCAAGATATCACCTATGGGCACATTACAGCACAGCCTGACTCAGCTGTACTTGGTATATTTTTACAAATGTGTTGCCATGGGGCTTATTTTTTTTCCTTTTCATAGGCCTGTCAATCTGAGATGTTTAATATTTGGGTGCATCTTGTTTTCCCTGGGAATATAAATAATTTATCCTTATATTGCTTCTGTTCTTAAATGTAAAAAAAAAAAAACCAAAACAAAACACAAATTGCATCAAGTAACTACATGTGTGCTTAGCTTCAAAAACTGAGATGGTCTGTCAAAAAAAGGCATGCAGTGTGAAATGCTGTGCAGTAATAGGTACTGTGCAATTGCAACTGGCTTCATTGTCAGTGGTTTAGTTTTCAGGTCTTCAGATCTTTAGGCCAGCAATTTTATAGCAAAACTGTTATGTTAATATTACTGCTTGTTTTTTCTCGGCAGCAAGGATAATGATTAATGCAGTCTTTATTTTTTTAAAGCAAAGAGAAGATGAAAGTAGCAATCGTAGCCCCTTAGAAAGGAAAAATATTACTGAGAGTTTGAGTGAAGGCACAAAGGAACAAAGGAAGTCTGAGCAAGAGGGTAAGTTTTACAGTGTTAAGGCTGATGCACTTCCTTCTGTGTAGTGATACCTACATGTCAATGATCCAGCCATTTAAACAGGTAGCACAAACAAGCCTGAAGCTGTAGAAAACTCTTCCACCACCAGTTACTTCTGCAGTTGCATTGATTGATACTGCTCCTCAGAGATGTTAAAAAAATATTTTTGAAATTATCTTGGCCAAATTATTAAAACATTTGTTTGAAAACATTTGGAATAGAGTAAATGCATGGGGAGCTCTTACCAAGTCGGATTTGTACCCATAGAATCAAACATCACTGCTAGTTAAGTGCTGTACTCTTAGTACTGCTTGGCCTGGACAGGGCAATCTGGACAGAGAATCAAGTTAGATGCTTGTTATCGTCCTTTTTTTGTTACAGTTACAATAGAAACGTCTGCTTTCCTTGCAGGAGATATTGATTTGTCACATGTCCACAGGAGGCAATGGGAAAAAAGGATATCCAATACTGTACTGGATGTCCTGGAAAATGCATCCTTGCTTTCTTCCAGTTTTACACCTGAAGAGACTGAAAGTAAGATTTGATTAAATGTGGTTTTAGTTCAAGTAATATCAGTGATTCTTTATAGATTTTAAAGGCCAAAATTTTACCGGACATGTTTAAAATGATGTAAAATTAATTTTAAAATATTTTATTAACAACTAAAAAGTCCGCTGTGCTGAAGAGAATTTCTTTGTGGTTTTGTGTGACAGGAGAATTGCAAAGAGTGATGAAAACCACAGATAATGCTAGCAACCCTAAAATTATAATCATGACTAAGAAATTACCCTACAATTCTCCTCTTAATATGATGTTTGTGGAGGTAACAGTGAGGAATTCATTTGATGCAGAATGAAACTGCCCGTCTTTCAACTACGGGATACTATTGGGAGCATAAAACATCTGTACCTCTACTTCTGTTGTCATTAACATCCAGAAAAGGTCAATGGCAATAACTATCAATTATGACCTCACATGTGAGGCATAGATTTTTCTTCCACATCTACAGCTTTTAATTAAAACACTTAACATGAGATTTCTTCTGAAAAATGTTTCAATTTTAAAGTGCCCCTCACTTATGCAACTGTTATAATTATTTAATGTGATTATAGATATGTATTGTAAGGAACTGTGAATAAATGCTGTGGAAATAAATAGTCAAAACATAAGTAGTCAGAAAATTCCCCAGCTGTGGTAGGAATGTTGCATGATAATTATATGCACAAGGGAAAAGGACAGAAGAATGCATGTATTTAGGTGTTCTGCTATTAAAAGGCACAAAAATGGCCTCAGGCTCCATTTTGTGAGATTCATAGAGGCACCACATAAGCTTGCAGAGACTCTGACTCCTCACACTCCTCAGCCTGTTTCTGCTAGCTTTCTGTCAGCAAAAAGTTCCACTGTGACTGTTCTGTAACTTGTTGTCCTTTTAATGCTGACAGTGTCAACCTTAGTTTTTTGAGAGGTCAGTGGTGCTACAGATGGAAATACCTAGACTCTCTTCTTCCTTTGTTTCTCTCTTGAATGTGATCTTCAATGTAATCCACACTGCTAATGCCGTTTTATCTAAGTAGTATTTATGAATACTTTCTACCCAGGTGGTGGTGTTATAAACTACTGTGAAAAAAAGCCACGTAAGCAGTGGAACAAGGAAACTCCTCGGACCCTGATGAACATTCTCACTAATGCAGATGTCAGCCTAGCATTTAAAACATACACAATTTATAAGCCAGGTAAATCCCCAGTTTGTAGGCAAACATTTATACAAACAGGTTTATTAATAAAGACTTTCCCCTTTTTATTTTTTTTTCATACATAGCCCCCATATAGAGAGATTGTGCACTTGAATTCATATCACAACAGGTTGGGTGTTTTTTTTTAAGTTTATGAAACGAGACGTGGAATTAAAAAAAGCCAGGATTAGAATTCATGAGTGATTGTACATCTCCATTACAGCTCTTTATGATGGACTTTCACTTGCAGCTCAACAGCTGAATGAAGTTGTGACCAAAATGCAGATGCTGTAGAGCCAAGTGTCCTCCATCCTGCTGAGTGGCCTGGTGTATGTGTTAGGGGGGTGCAATAAACACACTGCAGCCCTATCAGGTAAATCCACTTCCACTAAGTCAGCAATGCCCTGTTTTGAGGGCAGGATGGTAAAATGGTACAGCTAAAGACAGATGCAGCCTATAGATGTGCACAGCCACAGATACTTGTTCTGCATTTAAAATAGGTAACAACTTGACCTGGAATCTACTACAAAGTGGGGACAAATTAGAAAGACTACATAGTATTAATATTTTTAATAGGTTTATTTTTAAAATTAAAATATTTTGGTGACATTTTAATTTTTATATTTTCAAAGCTTCTGAAAATATATTAAGAGGTCCACTTTCTGATGAAACTGAAGCATCTGATGAAGTAGATGGTGAACATGGAGATGTTATCATAGATTCTGAGAGACTTGAGCCTAGATCTGATGAAGATGACACGTATGTCCAAATGACGTCCTTGTATTTTTGTTTTCTTTGGTTCCTCAAAGTGATTTTCCCAAAACAATGTTCTCCTGAAAAAAAAAGTTTTATTCTCAGCATTAAAATCCACCTCTCTCCTACATAATGGAATTTGGTAGCATTTGCTATCTTACAGGTTTTATTTGCTATATTTATAGTTACTGATAGTCTGAAGATTAAACAGGATGCTTGTTATTAGCAGATACGCTAATAATTTGCTGATGACTTTGAAAAAAATGAAAGCCTGAGCTGAAGTTAGATCCACAGTAAAGTGCAAAACCTTCTTGTATGAAAGTCTTTGTACTCTGACCTTGAAATCTGATAACCAGTGGCAAAACCACTTGCCTAGTGGTATGTTTGCTGCATTTGTATATTATTCTTCCTAAATTTTCATGTGTCATGCAATAAAACCTCTTTGGAACCTACTTATAGAGACATATTTATAGAGACCTTTTAAATTCTGTGTTCTGATTATGTTAGTGACCCACTTTGTGTTTTTGAAAGAGCGGAGTGAAAAATCAACACATTTGAACAAAAATACTGTGTTTTACAGATCTGTGTATGTTTTGGGGGTAGTTCTTGGATTCTCAGAGTTTCAATTTATGTCATTGTTTATTTTTGTGGCACTTAGAGATGAACTACTTAGGCATGTATTTCTGTAGTTCAGTTGCAGGCTGTCAATATCAACACATTTTCAGTCTCTAAGTATATGAATTTGGTTTTGGTTTTGATAAAAATTACTTTAGTAAATTCCAAAGAGAACATCTTTTGGTTCCTTAATCACAACAGTGCAGGAAATATGTCTCTTGCACTGATATTTTTAACATAATTTATCCTAGTTATTGGGTAATTTTTCCACGGGGGAAAAAAAGGCAAAGATTTATAAAGTTATATTTTGCTTTGCAAAACAACATTTTGAAATCTATTTTTAGGGACTTTGAGGAAGACGACCCAGACTGGATGTCGGAACTGAAAATGGCATTGAAACACAGTGACTGAAAACTTGAATTTACCTATGATAAGTGAAGTTGGGTGTGCTGGTCTTTATAATCAAAATAGTTGTTAATAATTGGTTATTAAAATAATTTAAGTCAAATTCCGAGTGGGCATGTTTTCTGTATCACAAAACTGAGCATGCAAAATGCCCAACAAACCTTTTCAGATAGAACACTTGCAAATAACTAAACAAGTCCAGATTTTAAAGGCATTTGGAGTTGGTAATAGCTTTGCAGAATTGATCAGTCAAATAATAGCATTGTTCAAATCATCCTCTTGTCATATTTCAAAGAGAAGGTGTAACACTATGAGAAGGTGTAAAGTTATTCTTCCTGACTACATACTGAATTAACAGCTTTGTGTTGAGTTGACCCCGGCTGGATACCAGGTGCCCACCAAGGCTGCTCTGTTACTCTCCTCCTCAGCTGGACAGGGAAGAGAAAATTTAATGAAAGGCTCATGGGTGGAGATAAGGACAGGGAGAGAGGAGATAAGGACAGGGAGAGATCACTCACCGATTAACGTCATGGCCAAAACAAACGTGACTTGAGGAAATCAGTTTAATTTATTACCAATCAAATCAGAGCAGAGTAATGAGAAATAAACCCAAATCTTAGAACACCTTCCTCCCACCCCTCCCTTCTTCCCAGACTCAATTTCACTTCAGTAGTCAACGCCAAGCCCAGCAGCTATGGTAGTAGTGCCTCTGCATCAACAGATTAAAGGAGGGGAGAGAGGAGAACACTGACAGGGACATCAATGGGTCTGTGTTGAAGCCAGCTGGAATTGGCTCTGTCAGACACGGGGGAAGCTTCTTGCCGAAGGCACTCCTGTAGCTCCTCTCTGCTGACACACAAACCCAATACATACATAGTAAAAGTGATGTTATCTGAAGGGCCTGTTATGGGAAACAGCTATGCTAAACATTTGAGGCTTTAGTTCATGCAATTAGTCCCCTGAAAACTCTTGAGACTGAACTTTTGCCTTAATTCAATGAAAAGGGTTTTTTATATGCCATTGCATGTGTGAAAGGAAGCAAATTTGTTCATAAATAAGGACAAATTTTCCAACTTATACTTCGGAGAGTGCTATGGGCAATGTTGTGTTTGGGCTGTGTGCTGGCTACTGGGTACTAAACACTTTACAAGGCAAGTGTGGCAGAGAAGAGCACAAACACTCTCAGCAGAGTTCTCCTGGGGCCGTCCCAGACAATGTCCACATAATAAATAATATCGGAGAATAATACCCAAAGAAAGCTTTAGGACATCGGTAGATTTGGTACGGAGCCAGTTCTTATTGCACCTCCTCTCTTGCTCGTAGGCTGGTACTTGAGTTTCCACCAAGGATTCAACAACTTGAGACAGTCGAGATTTGCTTTCAGGCCACTCCTGTTACTGACCACCCAAATCAAAAGTCTCTTGTCGTAGTCGGAGAGAGCGGTTTGCGTAAGGGAAATAATGACTCCGGTTGCTCCCGAAGGACGCTGCAAACGCCACACCTCCGGCGGGGGCGCGGAGGCGGGGCCGGCTCCTCCTCCTCCCCTCCCGGCCGTGCGGTGAATTTTGGTGAATTCTGGCGGCGGCTGAGCGCATTGAGGTACCGCGACCCCCGCGGCGCCCACGGCGGCTGCCGAGGCTGGGGCCGGCCGGGCCGGGCCGGGCTGGGCTGGGCTGGGCTGGGCTGGGCTGGGCCGGGCTGGGCCGAGCAGGTCTGCAGGGGAGGGAGGCACCGGCAAGGGCTGTCTGCCGGCGCGTCCCGTCGCCATGGGGACGGCAGGACAGCCGGGGCGGGAAGGGCGGTGCAGAGCGGGGCCCCGGCGGGAATGCTGGCGGCATCCTCTCCCCGCGGCACCCGCGCTGCCTCTGTCCCGGCCCTGAGCAGGGCTGTAGACCACCACCCGTGAGTCGGTGTAGGTCCTGCTGCCCTCCCCTCCCAGCACCCCGGCCACGAAGCTGCCCTCCCCGGGCAGCGGGGGGCGGGGGTGTCGCCTGTGGATGCGGGGCTGAGCCTAGCGGGCAGCGCACCCCTGCCCGGGGGCAGCTCGGCGCGCCGGGATGAGAGGCTCATCTGTCCCGAGTGGCCGCGTCTCACTTGTGACTGGAAACGGGAGCTGGCTTCTACCCAGACGGCGAAATTATAAATGCCCGAAGGTCCCCCTACTTGCACTGCCAGAGTGGTTTTTGGTGACTGCCAGTGATGCAGTCCATGCGGGCTCCCAAGGGAGCCTGTTGCAGAGCTTCCTTGGCCTGCCTGGCAGGCAGTGTCTGGTATCTGAACAAATCTCCCTTGCTAAAACTCAGGTCAAATAGTAAGAACAGTTTTGTAGTGTTTGCTCGTATTTATGTGTGCTTGCTCGTATTTATGTGTGGAAGTATGCTTATGGAACCATTGCAAGGTACCCAGTGACATTGCTGTTCCTGACAGATGTTTGCTAATGTCCAACTGCACTTGGCCATGATCTCCTGCAAAATGCAGTGGCTTTTCACTTCGTTGCTAATATTAGATGACATTAGTATAAACTAAATAAACATGAAATAGATTAAAGCTATTTTTTCCTTTAAAAGAACAATTCCATAATATTGTTAACTTCAAGAGATAATGAGTCACACTTTCCAAAATTATATCTTAATCTTACATAGTAGTGTCTACTGCATTCTCATGTATTAACTTTAGGGTGTACTTTAGGGTGTAGGATTTTCTTTATAAGACACTCATAAACTTGCTGCTTATTGAAAGTTCAGATCTGCAATAATTTGCATAATTCCAGAGGATGATATTTGTAGGGAGAAGCAGCAGCAGTAATAAAAATGTGATAAAACATAGTAAAAAATGATAAAAATGGCAGTCTTAGAAGGTAGTATCTCTTTCAATAGCACCACCTCAGATGTTGCAGCACTGACTACATACAATACTAATTTGGGCACTTTTTATTTTAGCCACTGTTTTAAGTTGAAGACATCATGGATAATTATGAAATAATTAAAAAAATTGGAGAAGGATCTTTTGGCAAAATATTCTTGGCAAAAGGAAAAATGGATAATGAGCCGTGTGTTATCAAAGAGATCAATTTAACTAAGGTAAAACAAAAACCTGTGATTTATATTTACTGGATTATGCTACTTGCATTTAGCTAGGATATGAACTTGGGTTATTTTTTATCTCCTTTGTAGTTCCATCTCAATTATATGGAGATAAACTTTCCAAAGACTGTAGTCTTAGCTAATTTAGTATTTTACAAGCATAAACAAAATATGTATTTCAATATTCTTTACTTTTTACTGCAGTTTTGTTCTTTTCAAAACTTTGCCTACTTGTGTAACACTGACTAATGCAAATTTTATGTTTGTTGATTCAACTACAATGAAAATATTGCCACTGAAATAACAAATGACGATTTTGTGATACATTTCTTTAAGCTTTTTAATTTCCTTTTTTTCCACGTGCTTATTTTCAGACATAAGTAATTCACAACGGTGCCTTTCCAATTCTCATTTGTGTTTATGGCAGTTGGATTCATCTCATCTAATTTTAAATTTCCATTCTGTTGTTGTCAGCATCTGAGCTGCTTGGCTAGACTCCCTTTCCAGGAGAACAAGAGAAATAGGTTCTTTGAGGAAGCTGTTGATTATGTGTGGTTTAGACCTCTGTTTAAGAAAGAGCTGCATCTGGCCATAAAACTGCTCTCTCTCTTCCCGTTGACTGCAGAGGCAGCTTAGGGCCACTTGCTCAGGTATCAGAGGAACACTGCTATATCTAGTTCCAGAAAGGCAATTAAAATCCCTGGGTTTTAACAGTCAATTTCAATGAGTGCTTACATGCTTTTGACCAGCCTTTTGTTATTCTAGGCCACATTAGTGAATTTTTAATATATTCAGAATTATAGTAGAAGAATGAAAGAGCTGTATAACTTCCAGACTCAAACCCAGAAAAACTGATATGCTAGTAATGACAGCTAAATGCAAAACCAGTTTCTCTCTGTTCTCTTGACCAATAAACCCCATGCATTTCCAGTCTTAGATTTTGATGTTCACAAAATAGAAAAATGGAAGCTAATGAAATATTACTGTGGATCCCACTTGTTCAAAAATCAGGAGCTGGATACAGATACTTACTACTTTGAAGTCCTAAAGTTTTTTATATGGTAGGATGTGTTTTATTCACTTTATTATTTTTGAATCTTTGAGGATTACATTTCAAAATATTTGCTAAGAATGAGGATAAGTTCCTTTTTATAAATACAAGAAAATATTTTGATGGATAGATACTCAGATAAATTATTTTTTAAGAAATAGTATTGATGAAAATGTGATCACAATGAACCAAATAGAAGTGTTCATTTAATGTAACAGGGCAAAGAGTTTGCCCAAAATATTGCAAGTACTTGTAACACCACTAAAAGGAAGGCCTTTTTTCCCTTTTTGCTTTATTCTTTCGTGATCCTCCATAGTAGGAATAGAGAATCATCAAGACCCATGTACTTCAAATACTTAAGGGAAGTTTAACATTAGAGTTTAACTCTACTCGTCAGCTACCTTACCGATAGCATTTGTGTAAAAAGGTTTAAGGTATACATTTGCTTGTTTGTAAGATCTCATAATTTGGTTTGACTTCAGTAATGTTCTAATATATTTCCAAGCATACACTGCAAATTTATATTTTACATTATATATAGATCATATTTTATATTTCTGTATCACCTTGGTACACAGTATTTTTGTATTTGTGGGAATAGTTTTATAATGATGTAAAAATTTCTGAAAAGAGTTAAATATATCATTGCTAGCATATAGTTTCTTAATTCTTTGTAGATGCCTGTGAAAGAAAAAGAAGCCTCTCAGAAAGAAGTCATTCTTCTGGCCAAGATGAAGCATGCAAATATTGTAACCTTCTATGCGTCATTGCAAGGTTTACTTTTAACTCTTGTGTTTTACTTGTGATTAAAGGAGTGGAAGGCAGAAAACCTACTTTATTAATATTGACCAACCTTAGCCCTGTCTCTAAGCCCTTACTTAAAAGTGCTAACAAGTCCCAAGTCCTAGAAGTGGACACTAGGCATCAAATTCAGTCATCAGTTGCCCTCTTCATGTGTGTGAGTGGGTA